GTGGTTATTGAATTTAACGACAAGCTCATTATTTGTATCTGAAAAAAATAAAACTCTACGATACCTTTGGGTTAATAAGATAAATGTAGACAGTGTTTCTTTTTAAGTTATTTATATGTACTACAATCCCGAGTATAGTAAATGCTGCGCAATGTATATCCTAGGTAGGAAAGAGTGGCATATTTATGTATACGTGTGGGACATTGTTGATGATAATATTAAAATCCTATATTTAGTCATAATTTTAACATTTAAGATGTGTCTGCATATATAATTTCAGAGGGTATCTTTCTGTTTTGATTCTATTAATTTTGTATGTTGGTTATCCAGATTTTAACTGCATTTGTTTTTTGTTTTTTTTCAATTTAATTGCCTTTACTGTTTTTTTCTTGTTTTATCTGTGAGTCTCTGCCCTGTTCCGTTTGTGTTAAATGTTACACCTACAAGTAAACTGGTTTGTATTTCCAATGCACCTATTTATTGAGGATATAGTTTATTTTCTCTTGTTTCTTCCTGTTTTGTGAATGCAACAAAACAAAAGTGGTGAGCTGAATTGTGCATTTACTTCAGTACTGTCGTTCCGATCTCTGTTTTGTTGTGCGGTCGTTGACGAAGATCACAGCATTGGACTATATGTGTGATCCTAATTCTTCATAATATAAGGCCTTGAGCCCCAAGTACAGTTACAGAAAAACATTAAGTTCTGAAAGGGAATATGAAGTTGTCAAAAATTGGCAATATTTTGGCTGGTGCGAACCTATAATGAAGAAAAAATGGTTTCATTCCTTTCTCTTGTTATTTAATATATTTATAATTTTTATTAATTGTATAATGGCCTCCGGCCCATTACAATCATGCAAATTAATTATTGACAAGAAATAAATTTACATTACAAAATATGTATGAAAATATAGATGAAGAGTGTGTCAATACATAATATAAGCCCTATATAATAATGTGATGGGGATATTAATATATATATATATACATACAAGATTATTAGGTTATTCTCATTTGATCTTTGAGTTAATGATTTGGCTTTTAGAGGAACTTAATAGTTGTACTAGAGTATTCAAATTTGGGGGTTGTGTCTCATTTGGAAGATACTTTTTCCTGATTGTGTCCCATGCAGTGCATTTTAGTAAAAAATGATATTCATCATCAATTTCTTGCAGGCACAAATGACAAATACGGCTCTCCCTAGGGATATTATTATGTCTGCCTCTTTCTCTTGTTATTTGCGTTGTTCATAAGAGTTAAATGCCGGCGATCACAAAGACCAGCTTGTTTCTTGCTCTCCATCCAAAACCAATGTTAATGAGCAACGTAAAGGTGTCATCGTTAGAGTAAGTGCACAGTTACGAACACAGTGTACTTATATTTCCGGTGTATCTGGAATTCTATACAGTTCACGAGAGTGCAAACTCTGCCAATCTAGATGGTAAAACTTGCTCGGAATAACCTCTGTTTACGCTAGTGACCTTTTGACTTTTCCAGATTAAAACACATTAATAAATGGTCATCGTGTGTTATTTTGTCCCAATGTATAGATTAGATTATGCCGAATAATACAGCGTGGCGGAATTCGGTACGTAATTAACCATATTGAAATTGATTAATTATGGATATTTTGAGATAATGTTAATGATTTCGATAATGCGATAAACTGTATTAATTATTCTGGCAATAGTCATAAAAGCTCCATATTTAAATAAGTAACACTCATATCGGGAAACTGTTATATGATGCCTATCAGGGTCTCGTTCCTTCCAGCGTCGTATGACATCTTGTCAACATATGATGAATAAGCGGTCATATACTCTACAACATCAGGTTTGTTAAAGTTATATATAACTCTTTGTGAGGTGCCGAAAGTTCAACTTTCAACTTGTGTCAGCGTTCCTCAAAACATTATTTTTAGAAAAATAGACCGATTACCTAAATTTCTGTCAGAATTTTTGAACAGTGGAAGCCTAAATACAATGACGGCCAGGCTATGGTTTGGAGAATTCATTATGTTTCAAAATAGTAGTAGATTAAGACGATACGCTATGGAAAACTCACCTAACCTATGTTGCTATGGAAACAAGTAACATGCGCCTCCTTATTTAAATTCACAGGGTTCTATTGGTTCTTTGGGGAACTCGTGCTCAATGATACAAGTACTATAACAAATATACTGATATTCATTGCAAAGATTTGCTGATTTACGCCTTATTCGACAACTAGCCGTTGATGGAGAATATACCTAACGAAACAAGGTCTGAAGATGGAACAGGCACATTTTTGGTTTTCTGGACACTGTTCAACGAAACGCAGAACTTGGATGTCGCGGACACCTCGAACACCTCGTGGACAAACTCTTCTGTGGGTAATTTCACGGACGTCAGGTCGGTCCCGTGCTCTGGAGCGCCCCTGCTTGGTGGACGTCTCTACACGAGGCGCTAGCAATAGTGGTTCCGTTTTTTTACGGCATTGTGTGTTTGTGTGGCTTTGTAGGTAACTTACTGGTGATCCTCGTCATCTTGCTTTACTCCAGTAGGTCGTCTCTACCGAATATTTACATCATCAACTTGGCGATTGCAGATTTCCTTTTTATGTTGACAATACCATTCCTTGCTTATCTGTATATCGAACAAAACTGGGTATTCGGACGTGTCATTTGCAAACTTGTCATGAGCGTCGATGGAATGAATCAGTTTGCCGGTGTGCTCTTTCTTACCGCTATGAGCTTTGATCGATATTTAGCAATCGTCCGGCCAATTTCCTCACTGAAAGTTCGTTCTGTGCGTAAAACTCGCCTCCTGTGTACCGCTGTGTGGGGCTTTTCTGTCGTTCTATGCTTGCCGTTATGGATGTACACTGACGTGGTTCTTAGTCATAACGAGAGACAGAACACGTGTGGGATCTTTTGGCCACAGACTCTCAGAAAAACGTTCGTGGTCTATGCGTTCGCAGTTGGGTACATATTGCCATTGCTCGTTATTTCGACCTGCTATTTCGCGATCTTGGCCCAAGTATCGAAAAAGGCACTGCCTGGTATGGGGAACAAGAGACAGAGAAGTTCCCGACGAGTTGCAGTGTTAGTCATCGTTGCCGTCATAGTTTTCGCTATTTGTTGGCTTCCGTTTTACGCCATACAACTTTACATTGAGTTTTTCTTGGAAGCCGCTATGCCTTCCATGACTGCGACGATTGTCTATTACGTCAGTATTTGCCTGAGTTATTCAAATAGCGCACTAAATCCGTTCGTTTATACGTTTGTAGGAAAAATGTACAGAGAAAATATTAAGCGTTTATTGAGATGCAAAATCAAGACAAACGGATCCGCACCAGGCTCCAGTCAAATTTCCTGTCAAACAGCAATTTCGTCGGACACAAGACTATAGCCTATTTAACAACGTGAATGATCCGATATTCTTTCGGCGATAGCGGGATTTCGAATCGACTTGTGATGTCTGAGATGAGTATCGAAGTTTATTATCAAGCGGTGTATAAATAAGTTGTATTTGACTTATAATACTGAATGTGATTATTCATAGCTGTTGCTAACATGTGATGTACATCGCTGAGATATGCCTTGCATTAAAGCCGTATAAATTAGCATCTACACGTAGTTCGTAATTTTCTAATATCTTCACGGCTTGGCAGTTTCTTTATTTGACCACTAGGCATCTTAATATAACGTTGTCTTTCCTCGGTGATGCGCATCCAAGGTTACGGTCTACTGGTAGTACAGATCATTGAATTTAATTACAAAAGACCGTTGGCTAGAATAACGTCGTGACCCGCCGCGGGAAATCAAAGGGGCAAACAGGTGCATTACTTGTGGAGATAGTAAGTCACATTGCGTGAAACCAACGACATAAAAAATAAAGTAAAGACAAGTTTCGATGACAGCATTCTGTCTTTCTTACTCTTTTATATTTGTTTCTAGTAGCTTGTAAGTCCAACATTAATTAATAATGTCTGTTATCCTTTTCACCTATTTTACTTAGTTTGGATACCCATAAATTGACATTATCAGAATCCATTTTTTTTGGAGATTGGAAAATAGTTGTGAAATATTCACGCCCATTGTTTATGTGGATAAATTGACGAAATTCTAATTAAAATATATGATATAGCTAATTATAGTAATAAAGTTATCTCATATTTTAAGGAATTTGTATTTGCATTTTCTTGTTATGGTTTAGATTTGCGTGTAGGACTCGTGACTCGATCGTGAATGACTCGAGGAAAGTATGGACGACGATGATGATTGTTCAGTTGTCGAAGGTTCATGTGTTCTACACCACCGCTTGTCCACGCAACGTCTTAATAGTGTACAGTACATTTTCCTCTTCCTATTTCTGTTCCTTTCCTCCCCCTCTCAAACAAACGTGTTGGACTGGATAAACATAATTTTCTATTGTTACAGATCTTGATAAAAACTTCTTTTCATCCAAAAAATTACCAATTACTGTAGCATGTTTTATAAGATCGTTTGTTTGTGAACGATCTCCGCGTAATTGAACTACAACGTCTATACACATTGATATTATATTATACCGTAACTTTAAATGCTAGTAAAAGACTCCTAGCAGCCAATTATCGCGTAACGAAATGAGTTTGGCTGCATCGCGTCCATTATTTCTCACAACCCCCCTCTTTGACCTGTTAAACAATGATAAATCATCCACAACGCTATATTGGAGAAGGGTCTATGGAAAGATAATGTGTGTGATAAAGCGTATTAATACATATTCAATACGACGCTGTGGGAGATTCATTATTGTTATAAATCACTACCATCATATTTGCATGATTTACAAGCTGAATTGTGGCCGTTTAAAATCTGCCTATGAATAATTGTGTGCGAGTTACAAGCTGAAGCCAAGTGTACGTGGTTGTTTGCAACGCGGATATGAATATTCATGTGAATAAAAAAAATCTGAATACACCTGTAGCTGTTTAAAATCTGTATATGAATGATTTACAATCTGAATGCGAATTTTGTTACCGATTACACTCTGCATATGAAGTTTACTGTAATTCATCATTGGCCAGGCATCAGAGTTTTACATACGCATTCGTATTTCCCTGCATTCCCTGCATCATATATTCTGTACTTACTTCCATATCATTGTGTGAGTTCACCCTGGATGTGAATAGTAGGTGTCGTATCGAATGCGCCCTCTATGGTCGAAACACTTCTGTGACGTACATACATATTAAGTGATGACGTTGAGAACATCGATATTGTTTTCATTTGTGGCCGTACATCAAAAAAATATGCCTATTTGAGAAAAACAAAACGTTTACACCTGCTCTGTCGTTAGACAACGCGACTGATAAACGTTATTATTATACATCTGTCACCGTAATGCCATAAGTTACAGTGTGCCATAATTTTGGGATATTTTACGGGATATTTTCATCCTACCATATTAGAAAATGCGAGTTCCAAACATGGAATGATTACGCGCGAAATAATGTATCTTGGAAGAAAAAGATATAATAAGGTTATTACGAGGGTACCTCAAAGTATGCATTCAGACAGTACGCCGTCGCATCGACCTCCGCTGCGCGTCAGTCGATACTTCCGCTGTATTGCCTTCGTGCATAATTTGAGGTATCCTCGTAATAACCTCATATTACAAAGAGTATCAGAGTACCTTTTAGACATATTTGGCATATGGAAACCTATCAAAGATCATCAAACAAATCGTTTTCTGGATTCATCGTAACGATGTTATCACTAACACGCCGAAATTCCAAAGCTTGCATACCTCGGGCTGCCTGAACAGTTTGTTACGCTGACAGCCCACTAACAATGACTAATAACATGATCGTATATTTAACCTGGCAAGTGACCAACCTGGATTTGGAGTCTATACAATATATTTTAATGGTTTTTGGTCCCTGGGACCATAAAAATTATTTTTCAAATACAGTAAGGTTCTTCTGATTTCTGTATGTTCATTTCCTGCATGATACATCCGAACTCTTGTGTCAACATAATATTCATCTGTTTTGCCTGCGTACATTACAGTTCGAAAGAATTCCTTGGCTTGTGACAATTCTTTTTACTGAGGCTAAAGTGGAATCAATTTGTTCAACAGGCTGTAAAAATTCAATTTGTTCATCTTTTTCCATGGCTTTAATTTCCCTATTCCAAACGGAAAAGAGGTGTATCATATTTAAGCAGTGATGCTGTGATATGCCTCTGTGTCGATATGTTCACAAATTGACTCAATATCCACGAATCTTTGGTCACCAACTTTCATTTGCCATTTCCGATTTAAAAGGCGAGTTGGACATTTATGAACCAGCAATACTAAGACATCAGTGTCTGTTGCATGAACAATCACGGTTGCATCCGACTTATTAGCCTCCAGTATCATGCGAGTATCGGCTTCACAATGGTTACTCTCTTCGAGCTCTGTTATATTTTCATTGGCGATCAGCCATGTCTTTTCATTTTCTGTAATGTAGAGTGGTATTTTGAACAT